TGTGCCTTTATATAAAGGGTGTACAAGTTTTACACGATTGTGTGCGATGTTAAAATTGTTTAATCTGAACGCAAAAAGTGGGTGAACGGATAAAAGTTTCACGGAATTGCTTGATTTTCTAAAGCAAATGCTATCAAAAGATAACAATTTGTCATATCGTTGTTATGATACCAAGAATATATTATGTCAAATGAGTTTGAAGTATATCAAAATACATGCATGCTGTAATGATTGCATATTATAAAGGAAAGAGTTTGAAAAGTTAGATCAATGTCCGAAATGTGGTGAGTTATGTTATAAGGTGAATGACAACAATGGTTATGACTATGACGATATTAGCAAGAAGTGTCATCTTGCTAAATTTTTATTGTACCTGCTAATAATTTCAAGGTTCAAGAATTTTTTTCTAATGCGAATGACACAAAGAATACTATATGCCACGTAGGTGAAAGGAAATGTGATTAAAACATTTGTTATGTAGCTGATTATTTGCAATGGAAGAAAATTGATTTGTTGTTTCTGGATTTTGAATTTGAGTTAAGAAACCTTAGGCTCGGGCCTGCCACAAATAGAATAAACCCCTTTGGTAATTTGAGTACTAATCATAAATTGTGGCTTATTCTTCTCACGATTTATAACCTATATCCTTGGTTGTGCATGAAGTGCAAGTATAATGGTTACCTATGATGATTTCTAAATCAAAACAACTTGGAAACGAAATAGACAGTTATATAATCCATTAATTGAAGATTTATGACTTTTTTTGGAGGAAGGAATTGACGTTAATGATGTGTATTCACGTGAAAAGTTTAAGACGCGTGCCATGTTAATTTGCACAATCAACGACTTTCCTATATATGGTAATATGGCTGAATATAGCTGCAAGGGACATAAAGTGTGTCCTATATGTGAATTGATTACATGTTTTCACCAACATTAGTTTGAAAAAAACTGTTTACATTGAGAATCCGAAATTTCTAAAACCCAATCATCTTTATCATAGGTTGCGAAAGAATTTTAACTGAGAGGAGTTGAAATCGCTCATAAACTTTTAACCGGAGATGAAGCTTATCAATAGAAAGAACACCTTACAATATTTGAGTCATTTTAGCTACCAACTATAGGTATGGTTTACAAATGATTTGTGTGGTTGTTTCTGCTCTATTTACTATTCTAAGATATATTATTGGTTAAAAAATTGAGAAATCCATAAAATAAAAAAATTAATTAAAAAAAAAACAAATCATTTCAACTCAGTTGGTTCTGTTAATTGTGATTATATGTAAGTGCATTATCCAAATTAAAAAACCTTGAAATAATGTTGTTATATATTGAACCGAGAATTTTAAATTCTTCCACTACATTTGTTTAGTATAATTGTGGTGATATATAGCCAAATTATTGTCACGGTTAATAGACTGATTTATATATATATATATATATATATATATATATATATATATATATATATATATATATATATATATATATATATATATATATATATATATATATATATATATATATATATATATATATATATATATATATATATATATATATATATATATATATATATATATATATATATATATATATATATTCATTTTCCAGAGCACACACTAGTTGAAAAATAAAATAAAATATTGGGCAGGTAGTTAATATATGAGTTTTTTACAAAACTGCCACATTTTAAATTGAAAAATACCATAATGCCACATTCTAAAAAAAAAATTGCAAAACTATCACATTTTTAGTATGGGTTCGTCCAACCAATGGACGACCCAATGAAGGCCCAAATCTGTAGTTGGGGTTCGACCATCCAAAGGCCGACCCTATACTACGTATTTTTTTTTTAAAAAAATAAATATATAATATATATTATTAATTTATGTTTTAAATTGTTTTTATATATTAAAATTTGTTATATGACTTAAAATATTATTCAATAAATAATTTAAATAATTTTTTAATATTTATTAAATATTTTTCACATTATATAATTAATTATTTAACTAATTAAGTTATATAAAATATTAGACATTATTATTTAAATATTAAAAATTGACTACATAATTTAACATATTAATAACTTATATATTACACATTGCAATTTAAAAAATAATTTGAAAAACAAAAAAATAATAATAATATAAAAAAATTAATTAAATTATTTAAAAAAGAAATAATTAATTACATAATAACAAAAAAAATCATTTAAAAAAGAAATAATTAATTACATAATGTGAAAAATATTTAATAATATTAAAAAATTATTTAAGTTAATTAAATTATTTATTGAATAATATTTTAAATTATATAACAAATTTTAATATATAAAAAAAATTAAAACATAAATTAATAGGGACGGCCTTTGGATGGCCGAACCCCAACTACAGATTTAGGCCTTTATTAGGTCGTCCATTGGTTGGACGAACCCATATTAAGAATGTGGCAATTTTGCAAATTTTTTATATTATATTTTATTACAAAAGGTGGCAGTTAGGTAAAAATCTCTTAAAATATGCTCAATTATTATTCATTCTAATCCATATATGATGTAATAGACATGTGATTGTGACTTGTAAGTGTTTAAAAAGTTTGGCTATAGTGCCACTATAGAAATGATAGAAAATCATATGTGTGGATTGGATATAGATAATCAAAAAGTGTTGGTAAAACTTATACTGACTGACCACTAAAATGGGTATAACCTCATTACTTTGTCAATCTGACGCAAAAATGGCCCTATACCAACAGCGATATCCGTGAGTGTTGTTATTATGTGATTTTGGTTAGTCAATACAAGCAAAATAACATTGTTGGATGAGAAATTTCATAAAATATTAAAAACAATATTATTCCAGCTAACTTTAGATATAAAATTGTTTGTATGATGATGTATACTAAGAATGTGATGGACACAATGTTTGAGTGTGACATATAACTTTCTAATCAACTTTTAGGATAACACATATTCGATCTAAAGGAAAGAGGTTGTATTTGTCAACAGGGAACACATCAACTTCCACCATCAAGAATCTCTGAATCCAATTGAAATTTTTTATGTTATCGTGATTGTTACTATCTAACAATTTAAATTTACTAATTTTATTAAAAGCTGACCTAGACCTCAAATGTGAATTTTTTTTATTTTTTTAATTTACAATTTATGGATACGAACAAACAAAAACAATTTATTAATATGACTCTTTTTTCTATAGTTAAAGTTTTTATACATAATATCTAGCCACGTAATCCTTGCATCCTCCATACATTTTTTTTTTTTTGAAATAAATAAAACATAATAACCCACACTTATTTATGTTCTATTTGTTTTCTAAAAACTATTCTATTATTTTCATAATGTCTTGAATTACGTAGGATCGTTGTAAATCTAAGATCATAGCAAAAGAGGATTAGTAGTTAGGGTTTTGCTGCTAGTAAATCTAATCTTTTAGAGATAAAGATTGATTATATAGAATTTAGATCTTCGATGTGATATTTTTTAGTTAAGATATGGAGACTCAATTATTTTCTCTCTTTACAAGAGAAGAACTTCAAGTTTTCGATCAGCTTCTTTTTAATAGATGGGTGTGTCTCTTATACATTGAGTCTGAAGATGATTCCTCTAATTATTTAATAGATGGTTTTTAAAAAATGGAATCAGACCTCCAACTTGTTTTTTAGAAGGATTCTTGAATAGAACATATTTTTCTTAAGAACAAATTATTCGACTTTTATATAATTTCTATTCAGCATGATGAGTTGATGAGAGAGATTGGCCGGATGAGAAATAAAAATCGTGTTTGAGATCTATGGTAGAAGAGAATATTTTTTTCTTTGCAAGATACATGTGGTTGATAAATTTTTCTCAGGGCTTTATAGTTCTACCCTTTGATAAGATAGAGATAAGTGGAAGTAAAATCCTACGGGAGATCTCCTATCATATTCAATTGTACCTTATTATCTCTTCTTTGTCCTCTAATATGGTTGAGAACTCAACATCCGTCCACTAATTAGGGTCAAGTGGATCTCTTCTAAAGTGGTGGTCTTTTCTTTGTACCTTTTGAAAGATAGACTCCCTTTTAGGGAGAACTTCCTCAAACGGGGGTACTTGTTGATGGGATCTCTTGTCCCTTATGTTGGGGTTGGGTTGAGTTGTTTTCCGATCTATTTGTCAGTTGTGAGTTAACTTTGTTTATATAGTATATCATTTTTAAGTAATTAAGTTGACAGATGGTTATTTTTAATGACCATAAACTTCAATTTAAATATTTTCTCTCTTTAGGTGGTAAGGCTAAGCCTATGGGTGATTTTGCTATAATTTAGCATGACACTGGGTGGTCTATTTAGAGGGTTTGTAATAATTGTATCTTTAAAGGTGTCTTAGCAATTGTGAAAGAAATGGAAGAGAAGAGTTATTGTTTTAGTTTGAAAATAATTTTTAGGTAGAGTTGAGGTGAATTTATACACTTTCTTTGACTAACTTGAGAATCATATAATCGATCTAAATTATTAGAGGATCCAGTGTGTTTTTCTTTATTTTAGGGTTGATTGTAGTTTTTGGTTTTTAGTTTTCTCTTGATGTCAGGATCCAGTGTTTGTCTTTATTCTAGGGTTGGTTGTAGTTTTTTGTTTTTAGTTTTCTCTTGATGTCCTCTGATTCGTTGATAATACTTTTAGTAGTCTGAAATCTAATCTAAACTCTCTTAGTAAAATTTCTAATTGCTCGAGTGTTTTTGTTTGTGAAACTCTTCTAATACTTTTCTCTTTAGTTGTTTTTCCTTCAAGTATCTTTTGTTTCTCCTTAAATTGATTCATTTAACATTTCTTATACTAATAACTACTTTTTCTTTTTATATTTTGGTGATTTTCACCTCTTTATTTATATAATATTTTACTATAAAAAGTAATAATATTTCTTCTTATTTTGACTTGAGATCATATTATTTAAACAAAAAAAACATGAAACGAAAGAAATAAGTTGTATATCTTACCTGTATCTTGCAGGCTTTTGTGGCCAAAACTCCATGAATTCACCAGAAGGTGGACAAGGATGTCTTAACGTATCCCTCCAATATTGAACACAATCCTCCTTATTTATTTCACGACTTGTATAGACCCTACAACTTCCATTAGGGTCCCTTGAACTTTCACTTATCTTTTCTACTTCTGCCATGCCATGAAATTCCTTGAAAACATTCATTGTATCATCCATCAACTCCTTGGAAACTCCATGGTTGATAACATGGAAAAATCCATACTCCTCCGAAGCTCTCAAAATTTGCATTAATATTTCAGCATGGTCATGTTCCTCAAGATCCACCACCGGAATCGTCTTGCCGGAGACGACGAAAGCACTGCCGGGTCTACTTTCCGGCGGTTGAACATAAGATAAAGGCACTGAGGAATGAAGATGAAACCAGCTCGAGACAAGCACGTTATCCATGTTCTATAATGCCTTGGTTCCTTGAATGCAAGTGTTTTATATGTTTGTATGGTTTAAAGTCATAAAGTTTACCTTTATATATATATTCCATTATGTCATGAAATACTAAAATTTAGCTTATCAATGAAGATTTAGACTAAAAAATTTCAAGTCATTACCTACTACTATATAATAAGGAAGGTAGGAAGTATGGTTTACAATAACTTTTTGTTGAGTATGTAGGAAGTTAACAATATTATTATAATATACTTTCACAATTGACTTATGAAGTCTACTAAAATGAATATTGCCAACTCACCCATCATCATCAACTTTAGTAAATTAATTAATCTAGAATTATCTTGATTATGTATATAATTAATCTAGAATTTTTTGATTCTTAGAAGAGTAGGTTTATGAGTTTGGGAGGTTAATTAGTTCTTCTCACTTTAATCCTTAATTTATGTCTAATTTTTATTTACAATATTATTACAATTCACTAGCACAATTGACTTGTGAAGTCTACTATTGCCAACGCAATTATCATCATCATCAACTTTAATAAATTAATAAATCTAAAGTTATCTTGATTTTATATATTAATTAAGGGGCAGGTTAGAGTGATTGACTTTTATAGTTTAAGATAATAAAAAATGGCTTGATTCTTAAAACTTTGTGAATGTGCGAGTGCGTGTGCGTGAAAAAGGGATTTAAACCTGAGACGTGAAAGGACTTTAATTTCGATTATACAGGTGAGATAACGAAGAACGTCATAAAAATTTGACATTTTACCACATTAATTTTGGATTAACTTGTGGAAAAAGTGTTATTCACATAAATTCGCAGCTTCTGCATTTTTATTATTTTATGAACTAGATGACACGTCCTCCATTACCTCTCGGTTATTTGAGAAACCGAGTTAATAGATTATCATTATTACCTCAGTTTAAAATAATAATCGAGGGGAAAACATTGGTTTTAACCTATATTATAGAATCATATTTTGCCCATTTCAGAAACAAATATTTTGTACAATTTTCTCATTTCTCAAACAAAATCGTTATACCATAAATATTCATTGTTTACACCATTTGCAAAGCCAAAATGACACATGTACCTCTTGTAATTTTACAACAAATTAAAACTAGAATGCAATGACCATTTGCAAATGATAAACTAACAAAAGCAATAACCAAAATGCAAAGTCCGTCCAAAGATTATGTTCTGTAATTTGTCATCGGTTGTTAACCACCTATAATTTGAACCACATTTGAAACGAATTTAGATCATTAACAACAACAACATTAAATATTTAGTATAAAGAATATAAGTGATATAAAATATTTTCTTACTAGTTTTCCTATATCTCCTCTTAATGATCACGACGAATAGCATGCACATCGTCATCGAAATCATTTTCTTCTTATGAAAGACGAACAGGTGTTGCGAAAGAGGGGGTATCAAAATTAAAATCATGATTTTCATCACTATCAGGAACATATCTTCCATGAAGAACAATTAACCATCTTGTGTTAGAAGGATCAGTGACATATAATATTTGTTTTTCTTCGGAGGCCATGATGAATGATTTGTTCATATAAGTTCTCTTTCGAAGATCAACCCATGTGAATCTTAATTCATTGATTTCTACACCAATGTTACAGTCAATCCACTTGCACTTAAAAAAAAGAACTTTAAAAGTAACATAAGCAATCTCCATAATCGTCTCAATGACCCCAAAGTACGCTCTAGATGTCAGTGCATAATTCTTATGTTTCGAACTAGAGAAGTACATGAATTTAGCTTAAACCATAACCCCAGGTACTACGATCATCCTTTGATTTTCTATAGAATGAATATTTAATAATGTCGTATGTACTCCAAGTGATTACATTAATCTTAGGCATATGTGACATCTGTAACACCTCATTTTTAGTAAATGATTTTATTTTAATTTAATTATAATTTCATGTGTTTATTTAATTGTTATATGTGGAATGATTGAATAAATGTGGGTGAGAGGAAGGGTATGCGACCTTATGGTAGGGTGTAGAGAGTAATTAGACAAAGAAGGAATAAATTAGAATTATTTTATTATTTAAATAAAATAAAAGAAATAATGATTTGATTTTATTATTTAAATAAAATAAAAGAAATAAGAATGTGTAGAGAAATTAAGGGAAAGCTGGTAATTATGAGAATAAGTTGAGGGTAGAAGGAGGAAAGCCTAATTACGAGAAAATATGTTTATTAGAAAAAGAGAGAAGTGGGAAGAAAATCATTTTTATTGTACGTAAAAACTTGTAAAAGAGGAGAAGGAGGCTAGGACAAGAAAAAGCATAGGAATAACATTCATTGCTAGAGCTTGGTGTTCAAACTGCAGTAAAGCGGCAAGAAGCAAAAAAAATTAGTTTTTAAGGAATTCCCTCCAGAATTTATATCGTCTCCATAAGGATCGGTGCGACGAAAGAACGTCGCCCAACGGTCTCTACATTTCTAAGCTTGTTGTTCAAAAAGTTTGGTTTAAAAGGTTCAAGGATCCATGAATAAAAGGCAGAAAATATAAAGATGGAAAATATAAAGTAAAGACTGAATTATAAACGGAGCCTTGTTGGGATTGGATCTCATCAATTGATAACACATTCATTCTTCTTATCATGTTAAACACAACTCAATCATTCGTCTAATATCCTCACATATCACCTACAACAGAGGTCATCTCTAACGCAACGTCGAGAGAACAACCGTATTGTCTCATTGGTGATGTCTCACGCAACAAAAACACAACACAGAGCATTAAGAACTGATATTCGTGCAAATGCTAAGCCTAAATCCATTTTTAGAGTTTAGGACCTAACAGGTAATCATCCTAGATCCAGATCTTAAGAGTACATGTCTATAGCGGTTCAAATCAAAGATAAACAGGTAAACAAAGACGACACACATATCAGATAAACGATTATTTTAAATAAAACACAATGGTCAGAATACGTACATACGTGTTGCACCCTAATTTTTGACCACAGGATCCCACCTCCTCGTGCATCTCTCTCCTACATGTTGTCTCTATGCTTTTGCGTGTATTTATTGTGGCTAACCAGCGTATGAAGACGCAGTTTTTTTATGACATTCCTTGCAGTCAAAGCCGTTCAGGATAACCTTTCTAATTTGGTTTTCTCACTGGCGTACCCTCAGCCTCAGAAGGTCCCTCAGGATTTTCCGACAACGGGTTCAGGGTCTCTCATGTGTTTTGGCATCACATAAACTATGGACTAAAGAGGATGTGAACTGGGAGTTTGCATTTTTTTGAGGCCAACTTCAACATTCATGTGGTTAACGTCCAAGACTTTGGCACTGTCGTCTTTGGTCTCAAACCAGTACCTCGGAGGCTAAGAGGATTTGAATGCGGGATTGCAAACTCTAGTGAGTACAAATCAAGGATCTCATTAAAATTCACACTACGAGTTTTCATCTTCACGATATACGCGGGAAGGATATGCAAGTTCTATGTAATTACTCAAGGAGGCTCCAAATCATGGATTAGCAAAGCTGAATTTAACCACAAGACATTCTGATACCAAAATCCCACGAAAGCATACACAAAATTTGATTCTCATTAAAAGTCAATAAGATATTACAATGGCCAGATTCAAGAAGTCAAATGACCAAGTCATTATGTTTTACAACCGAAATGAGGATCTCCAACAAGTTCAAATGTTGAGATTTTTTTGCACTCTCTATACTATACATTCTTCTGATTCATATTGCAAATGGAAAAATTCACCATCACAAGTTTGTGATAAAATCTTAATCTTTCAGAAGATTATGTAGTACTAAGAACATTTTGACAGTAAACGGACAATTTCCTGGTCCAACAGTAATAGCTCATGGAGGAGACAAGCTTATATTTAAGATCTACAATCACGCAAATTATAACATTACAATACATTGGCATGGTACAAGACAAGTTTTACAAAGAGAGAATCATGTTTAGAGAAATTCTAGATCCTATTTATGCCCAAACATCCAACGTCAAGGCTACAAAGTAAAAATAAATTTTCATAAGGTTTACACTACAATCTCAAGTTTACATGTTGTTCACAAGCCTTCAAAACTACATGGTAGAATCCACATTAAATCACCAAAGTATTGGTATTTAGTCTCCATTTCAAGGAACCTGTTCATTACAAGTTTAGAAGTAATTGGCACCCTTCTATCAAACCCATCGGGAACCTCTTCGGCAGCCTGCAAACCAAACCGTCATGCTTTGAAGATTAGCACTTGTTGAATTTCTTGCAGAAAGACTAGGAGGTGAACCTACCGCTGGTAAATGCACCGCAAGCTCCTTTCCAACCTGTCAAAGCAAAACAGCAGCAAGCAATATTTGCTGTTATGAAGTGCCAACTCAAAGGTTTTTGACAATTATACAGGTCTTTACAAATACAAGGCATTGTAAATTGATACTTTGAAAGGTACAAGTCATAATGCTACCGAATAAGGTGCCATGGTTTTATAAGAAGAATTCCGAGATCCTTGACCTTCAGAAGAAAGCATGAACGACTGCTACGAAGCAGGACGCAGAAGAAAACATATTGTACAAGACCGCAATTACTCTACAATCTCAATGTCAGCTGCATCTGCAAAATAATCACGGTTAATAACCTGCAACACAACCAAATGGAAAAGGATTTATCAGGCCAATACCAGAGCATCCTCATGCTGAACGGTCACTAGTTTATAAGACCAATTCGGGGAATTCGAAGGTCTTCCGGCGCACCTCTGTGACATGGGTCTTCTTGTTGTTCCAGTTATCTTAACCCCAGCATCTGACCAACTTGAATTTATGGGAGAATTACGACAACAACCAATGACATGTCCCACCCAAACTCCATGCCCTGAGTCGCTTCCTCCAATTCACAAGCTGCCACTACGCAAGCTATAATCCACATAAGTTACAAGCCTTCAACAGGTCATAACAGTCATGCTGCTCAAATTCTCATGCCAAACATAATTCCAAAGCA